TTCAACAACAGCGGATATCTGTACATGTATGTCAGCTTCTTCTCGACCAATACCAATAACACTGGCGATGGTACCGAGCGACCACCTTCGTCCGGCAAAGACGACGAGCTGGCTATTGTGTTGATCAGCGCGAACAAGGAGGGCTTCTTCGAGCTCCGCAAGATGCGTAATGACCTTGTTACACAGCTCGAGAAGAACGGCAGTATGAGTGTCATCAAGACGGCCATCCGGAAGGGTCACGCTACATGCACCGATATCGTGCCAGGCACGGTACTGCGGCACTTTCTCTACAAATCTCGCGGCAATGTCCAATTCACCATGCCCTCGTTCGAACCGCATTTCCAAGGCATGGTCGCACGGCGAAGACTAATGTCGCTGTACGCTAGTTTGCACGAGAGCATGCACGCTCGGACCGCGCATCTAAAAGTGCAGCATTGTGTTGCCAAGGATGCGACGGCTTTGGCGTGGGAGACGCCGCTTTTCGAGCTCTACTGCGTTGCTGGTCCGCAGGTGACAAGGACAGCACTTGCGCAAGGTGCCAACAAGATCGTGCAATGGATACGAAGGGAGGAAGAAAGAGTGTTCATCATTGGTGGAGCCGTCTTCTAGGAGCCTGCTTGCATACAGTATCCTGTTCATTGTTGTACATCAAAGCACTGTTCATCCTACCAGCCAAGCGAGCGTTCATGATATCCCATTTCCGCCCGCAAGGGACTCCTGGCAAGCCGCCGCGCACGCCAACCTCTTGCGACCACCTGAAATGCCAACACGTCCGCGTTCAACCTCGATGACCTGACACTCAGAACATTTCGCCAAGCTCGCTGCATGACAGTTGCCGCTGTCGCCTCTCTCTGCTGCAACTGGGTCACGTTCGCGCACTCTTCTGCCAACCGCGCTGATGCGACCCTTCGAGCAAGAATTTGTCGCGCTAGCGTGCGCCGGAACGCACGTTGGACAGTAACCGCTGCATTATGCCGTCGCGCCAAAGGTAGCAGACGCGAAGCCAGGAAGGCGAGGTTCGAGATCGTGGTTGTGCGGGATGGTATGGTATCACGAGAAGAAGTGAGCTGTTTAATGAAAGCCGTGCTGCAGCCGAGAGAGCGTAGTCGGGCTTCGACAGAAGCACCTGTAGTAGAAGACCGCTTCGTGCTAGCGGAGGGAAGCAAGTCGGCGAAAGCTTGGAGTATGGCATCGTAAGCTTTGCCATCTGCGAATGAAGTCGTCAGGTTCGAGATGTGGAGACCGTTGCATGCGCCGTAGACTGTAGCCCAGGCTTGCAAGAGGTATTCTTGCTGCTCTTGCAGATCGGTGGTGTTGCCGGAGACTCGTCGAACATCTTTAGCAAGCTCCGTCCAGTCCACGAGCTGCGCAAGACCGTGCGCGCTGACCAGCGACCACAAAAGACTCAGCGTCTTCTCCCGATGCCCGTTCACGATGTCCTCCGCGGTAATCTCGTTCGCAATGTCTTGCTCGTGTTCATACAATGCGCTCAGAGTAACCTGTACATTGTACATCTTCTGCGCGCGAGCCAGAGTAGGCATCTTGAGATGCTGCGACAGTATCCGAGGACAAGGCGTACCGTCGTCGGTGTATCTCGCGCTTTCAATCATAGTCAGATCCGGTAGTTGCAGAGTCATGGTAGCGTCACCGTCGTCCTCCATCTCTTGCGTCCGCTTTGCCGAGAACAGCAGAACCTCAACCAATCGTGTCAAGAAGATCCCATCCCGGAAATCCGTCGCGATGTTCTGAATGCAATAGTCCACCTCGTCTAACGGATCCTGCACGCACTCAACCACATACTCCATATGTCTCAGCGGCCTGTCACCAACAGAAGGCATGAGCAACCCCGATAACGCACGAAGCACGCTAGCCGAAGACTTATGCTGCGATGTTCGCTTAAACAGACATCCAGAGACCACACCAGTCACCTTCGCCTGATCGAGCAACCAGATAAGCATAAGACTGCGAAGGACCATCTTGCGCCAGCGTCGTTCCGCCGGACTCCCTCCTTCCTCTTGGCCAGTCTCGCAATCCTCAACGGTGACCAGAAATGTTTCCAGAAAGCCGATGAGCGCACGTTTGGTCGTCGCGGGATCCATCACGCTAGACATCACCTCGCCATCGAGACTCCCGTGCTGAGACGCAGGGACCTGTCTTCCTACCACGACCTCAGCAGCTGCCCGCAAAGCGTCCTCGTCGTAGCTATGCAGCCACAAGTTCAGAAAGCGTTTCCGAAGTCCTAGGTCATGTGTGGGATCCGGAGGCGAAGGCATATCTTTTGGTCTACTCAGAGCACCGTAGAGGAGTGAAGCCTTCAGTCGTGAATGCAATGTGGTCACGGTAGGCTGGTGGTAGATGGTAAGCATCTGCTCCCGCAAGGAAGAATCAGGCATCCGCCATGCTGAGCAAGGCGATGCTTTGTTGAAAATCTCGTTGATGAGTTCGGTGAGCGCGATCTCCTGATGACTGAGCCAGCTCTCTTCGTAGAGTTGTGGTTGAGCGATGTCTTCGGAAAGTAGAGGGTACTGGAGGAGTTTCGGAGTGGTCTTGGGCGGTGTAGGCCGCTTGAATGTGGATTGAGGAGGATTGTAAGTTGACAGTGCTGCGTGCTTGTGCCATGGGCGTGGTTGCTCAGGCGAACGACGGGTGGTAGGTTGCGACTGCGGCGCTGTCCTCTTCTGCGTCGGCTGCACGACCATTTCTCGCCCGCGAACCAGTGGTACAGCTTTCCTCGGCACGACCGCTTGTCTAGCCTGTGACGCAGCAGTTGGCTCGAAGAGCTTCGTGCGCGCCACAGGTGAGCTCTTCACTTGCGCAACTGGTGGGCTTCTCGTTTTCAGCATCATAGGTGAGCTCTTCAAAATCTCCTTCCGCTTCAACATAGCCTTCATTGGCTTCTCTCCGCCAGCCTCTCCCGGCGGAACATTCTCCTTCCCACCGTTTTGGCCTGCGACGTCTACAGTTGGCGAGTTGTGCTCTTTGACAGCAAGATGCTGTAATGGCAAGCGCTTGGGTGCAAGGGACATACGAGGCTTTTTGGCAGACCTAGGCGCTTCCCTTGGTGAGTGTACGTTTGCAGCAGCTGGAGAAGGCTTGAGATCAAAGTCCATGTGGCGCGATGCAAAGTCCTTAGGATGAAATGTATCGTCCAAACGGTGGGTGTTATTGGCACCAGGGTGGATAGTAAGCATGGTCGTGTCGTCTGAAGGCACGAAGATGGTTCTTCTGCGATCGTCTCGCTTTGAAGGCATGTTTGCTGCTGCAATCCGGTCCTTTGGCGATGCTTCCACTTGCTGGACGGACGGACGAGCAGAAGGCCTGGTTCTGGCTTGCCGCATCTCTCCCAGTGGCTGTGGGCTAGCTGGCTTGACCTCTGGTTTGCTCGCGACCTTGCCTGGCAACTTGCGCGCAGGCTTGCTCAACAACGTCTTCCCGGGCACCCTCTTCACCTCGCCCGACACCGCTTCCTCCGGTACATCCTCCAAGATCGCAACACCAGCAACCTTCGCTCCTCTCCTCTGTGGTCTCTTGGGTCCTGCATGACCGAACAAACGATCTGCGGCGCGTGTGTAGTCTATGTCCAGGGTGCACGTATCGTCCTGCGGGAAGTCGGCCAATCGTCTGGAGTCTGCTGGCCTGGCTGGTCGCGGACACGGCGTTTCGAGAGAAGACATCGGGTGCTGGTTCTCGCGCGAATCCTTGCAGAGGAACGAATCGACTGAGGTCAATGTTTAGGTACGGACGGCTGTCCCGGTCGCCTCGGCAACGGCGAACAAGCTTCTCGGCAATCGTTCTGCCGCGATCTCCCCGCCAGCCCGCATATTCCACAACCACGATACTTGCGCATGCTGCTCGAAGAGAACATCCATATCTCATCTGTCTTCTGCACGACGAAGACGATGTGCCGTCGCATCTCACGACCCGGCCATGCTCAGCAAGAAGCCTAGCCTCCTCATCAGCGCCTACGGCAACTTACACTCCTTCAACAGCGCTTCGAAATCAACGACGTCATCGCATCGCGAAGGCACACGAGCACGCCAATATGCCACCATAACCGGCGACGGCCACGATGAGGCTCCAGCTCAGCCCAGGAGAGAGTCTGCAAAACCTCATCATTGGCCTGTCGCTGCAAAAGGCCAACAACATCCAACACCATATCAAATCTTGGCAACCAAGAGCAATGCGGCATACACGAAACACCAATTTTACGCCCTCGTCAAGCTCTACCACCCTGACTTGACTTCGACCTCACCACTGGCCCACCAGCAGAAACTAGAACGCTATCGTCTTATCGTAGCCGCACATACCATCCTCTCCGACCCAGTGAAACGAAGTGCCTACGACCGCTTCGGGGCAGGTTGGAACGGCAAAGCGGAAGCCGGAGCACCGCAATCTAGTAGCAGCGGTCACCCAGGGCCAGGTCCTTTCAGCCAAAGCTGGCAGTCCGGAAGCCAGAGCAACGCAGACCCAATCTGGAACAACGCCACCTGGGAGGACTGGGAGAAATTCTACGCCTGGCGCGCCCGCAAGAATGGCGAAAACACCAGTCCGGACCCGCAGTCTCCGTTATATATGCGTAATTCCCGGTTCATCTTGCTTATCTCACTCTTAGCTTTTGCGGGTGGATCAGCGAATTACAACCGCGCACAGGATGCTGGAGCTTATTATATTGAGCAGAGGGATCTAGTGCATGATCGGGCTGCTAAGGATTTGAGGAGGGTGAGGCAAGAGGTTGGAGGGTTGACTGGGAAGGAGGAGAGGGTGCAGTGGTTTTTGAGGCAGAGGGAGGCTACGATGGGTGGTATGAGTGGTGATGATGTCGAGGCGATGAGGGCCGAGAAGGCTAGTAGGGTGTTGGCGGCGCCCGAGGTGTGTAGGAGCGAGGCGGTCAGTGGGAAGGGTCCTTGATGGATCGTGAGGTGGACTATTGACGTTTTGCGAAGGACGTGAGGCCAGAGGAGCCGAGACGTCATTAAGATCAAAATGCAAAAAAGATTGGATGGAGATGGCGGGAATCGAACTCGCATCACCACTAGTTGCCAGAAGGGCGCTTTTTGCCCCTCCAAAGTGGGACACTCTAGGGTATCATACCATTGTGACCACATCCCCGGAACATACCAAACGGCATGGTTGGTGGGTACTTAAGTCCTACGCAAGGTGCAGCCGTGGTTCTACCGACGACGTCCGCCTGCAATCCGCCTGCTGTCTGCGCCGGGGTTTGCAAGCACTTGTACTCGGGCATGATTGCATACGACGTAAGATGAAAAGCAATCGGCGCGATGTGTAGGAGTGAGGAGGTGAGCAGATGAGCAGGATATGACCTCGACTGGAAACTCGATGCTGCTACTGTGACTGCGTTGTTACGGCCCAGATCTTGCTGAGGTCAAGGAGAATCCAGACATGACCTGGATCAAAATGGCAAAAAGGTTGTTGGAGACGGCGCGAATCGAACCCGCATCACCACTACCTCAGACCCAAGACGGCGCTTTTTGACCTCCCAAACATCGGGCGCTCGATAGGGTATCATACCATTGTGACCACATCCCCTGTGGTGTATGGAACTTACTTTGGTCTGTGGGTGCTAAAGTACTATGCACAACGCAACCGTGGTTCTACCGAGGCCACAGGTCCTTCAAATCCGGATCTGAAGACACTGGAACAGGATCGTGGACTGGAAGCAAGTTAGTAGGAGTGAGGTGTTGAGGCGGAGAGCATCTTGGTCGGGAACTCCAGCGGATAAGATATCGCCGATGGTCAATGCATACAGACAGGGAAGTGGCAAAATGGTGTCCGGTCAAAAGAGTAAAGCTGGAAATGACCGGATTCGAACCAGTATCACTACACAAACGTGTGTTTCAACGCCCAAGAAGGATAGACCCCGTGAAGTATCTTAACCATTGAGACCACATCCCCAACTGTTGAAGTCACTCATGGTGATAAGAGGCTTAAGAGGCGTAGGAAGGAGGGCCGATGATGTTCCGTGACTGTTATTGAACCTGTACGCAACGGCCAACTCGCGGGAGGCAAGCGGGATGGGAGAGTGGTCGTAAGGTAGGAGAGGCGGTGGCTGTTCACGAATTGGGGCTCGCGGAGACAAGAGAGTTTGATGAGAGGAGCAGAGTGAGATTGTGGGTGTGCTCAGGTGCCATAGAAGCCAACATGAAAGATTTACATTTCTCTATATGTTCCACAAGTGCCGTCCGACCGCATGGGTAATGAAGAATTTGACATGATACGTGAAGCAAAGACCCAATCGTTTTGCTCGTTAGCCGTACAATTACCCAGTCTTGCTGTGACACGCTGGTCAAGACCCTACGTCTTTCTGTTCATCATATGGCGTCTGGTGAGAGACTGTTTCACAACAGACAGGACGGTCGACAGCTGTGCACTGGCATTCGAAACGTACTTATTAGAGGAATAGTTGTTATATCTTATTAGTTGTAGAAAAAAGCTCTGCTACTAGAGCTTCCCAGGTCGAATTAGCAAGACGGTAAACCCACCTTCAGCCTCACAAACATGTAAACATTGTCAGTGTGCATTACAGTCTACCACGGAACGATGTTTGGTTCGAGCGAAGCAATTTGGTTAAACTTGGCATCACTCAATTGATGTAATGTAAAGCTACAATATATGCCTCTTCGTCGTTTCCCCATCTATCATCTATTGCATGTACTTCTCCCATCTATCGTCTATCGCAACCGCCTAGTCTCACATATCCCATACTATACACGATCTAGCACAGCGTCTGCACCGTCTCCCCAGCCTTGGGAACGATACCCTCGCTAGCCAACTTCTGCCAGCTCCAGTAGAATGTCTGATCAGTACCATCAGTGCCCACAATCTCCGTACCATTGTGCTTGCCGTTCCAGAAGGCACCGCCGTTCAAAAACGTGCTGTAAGCGGAGAACTGGCTGTCGAAGAAGATCTTGCGAGTATCATCACCAGCGTGATTGAAGTTGCTGGCCTGAATAGACCACTCGCCGATGAACACCGGGTTCGTCGCGACCTGGTACGACTTTGCGAGGTAGCAGGCACCGTACGGCGCATCGTAGGAGTAGGATCCGCCGGTGAAGAAGTAGATGTGTGTGTCGAAGACGATGTTCTGCGTGCTGTTGGCCCACCATTGATCCCACGTTTGTGGGCCGGAGAAGCCGTCGCTGAACATAACCGGCATAGTTTTGGTGGTCTTGCGGATCTGCGCCAAGGCGTCGGTGTAGTACTTGTTCAGGTAGTCGAACGACCAGTCCACTTGACCGAACTGGTAGAGATAGGGAAGAGGCTCGTTGATCAAGCCGAGCGTGAATTGATCCTTGTGAGGCTGCTTCGTAATCCATTTGGTAGCCAAGTCGACTAGCTTGAGCGTCTGCGTGTAGTGTGTCGTGCTGTTCCACCATTCGAGCTGACCTAATAAGCTTGTCATTAGCAGGTGATCAGGTCAAAGCCTTGGGCATGTTCTGTACCAGTCTTCCCCTGATTGTCCAATCCATTCTGGCCACCAGGAAGACCGTGCAGATCCACGATAATGTGCATTCCCTTGTTGACGGCATATTTAGCGAGGGCAGAGAACGCGGACAGTTGACCTGCACTTGATTAGTCTCGATTATCTCTGGTAGACGATAATGAACGCACCGCCAGTGTAGTAGTTATCGCCAGCGATCGCGGGCATGAACGCCCAGTAGCCGACGGGCACGCGAAGTGTGTTCACTCCATAGGATGCGAAGATATCAATGTCCTTCTCGGTGAAGTAGCTGGCGTACCGCTGCTCCAGAAGACGTCCACACTCCTTCTTCCCAAGCACCGCGCAGAAGCTGTCTTCATCGATCGCTGCCGAAGCGCCGTTGTCGTTGAAGAACGCCGGATCAATGCCCTTCTCTAGTGACAGCCAGCCGCCGAGATTGACGCCATTGGCCTGTAAGGTCGTCAGTTGCTGCCACACGTATAGTAACTATCAAGACGCACCTTGAAGTCCTTCCAGCCTGCAAATTTGGCATGCTTGGGGACAACCTTTGTGCTGATCTTCTTGACCGCAGCCTCGGCGGCATCTTCGACGAGGTCGAGGAGGGCAACGAAGGCACCCGTGACAGCGGTCGCATTGAACAGGGTCCGCTTCTCGATGGTCGAAGCTGCAGGGACTGGGACGCCTGGGAATGCGGCCGCCAGCGGCAAGCCGCACATAAGAGTGGAAATCCTCATGTTTAGAGAAGTGGGATGAGATTGTGAAGGTGTAGGTAGGTAATGAACTGTAATGACAAGAGAGGAATACCTGGGCTTGATATATGTGCCACGCTACACCTGTAAGGCCGGTGGTGTGAAGGCGAGGCAACATTAGCGTTAATAGATCTGTGAAAACCTTCATGTTCGTCCAAGGTGCAGCGGAGCATCATGCTCGACCTGGACCGTTTCAGCCACGGCAGAGGCCTGAGCTGGTCGCTGAATCCGCTTGTGCCTGTCATGGTCAACGTCTAGGTTCTCTGTGCACGAGCATTGCCACCCTGCGGATTCGAGCCGGCGTGTCACCGAGTCCTGTCGACAGTGGTGCGAGAGCAGAAACAGTTTTACGTCCGCCGGAGCGGATTGTCATACGCCAAGACACACCCTCGTGGCTCTCGACCACACGTCTTCCGTGGCGTCCCGTCACTCATGTTGACAAACCCTCCACCTCCACCCGCGATTCCGGGAAGGTTTGTGGTGCCCAGAGCGCTTTCGACGTTGACAAAACGGCGGCTGTACCTCGCATGCAAACGGCCGGCCCAAGCCGTCGAAGGAAGGACATGCAGGTACGTCCCAGCGCTCCGGTAAGACAGCACGAGCCGTCGAGCAAAAATGCAACATCCACCACGGCTGCATCCGAGCACAAACTAGACAAGCATGGCTGAAGAGGTTATATCGACGTTCGGAAAGGTGGACGACTCGCTACCTCCTACACCGAGACTTCGAGCGAGTGTTGTCCTTGAAGAAGTCCACGGTTTCGAAGGCGATGTGTTCGATGACGAGGGCAGATTCCATCCACGAGCTGCCGGCGAAGATGCGGACGCTCCGCCATCGTATGAATTTCTCTACGCCATCGCACAGGAGGTCCACGATAAGCGCACTGAGTTCCTAGTATACGCATCCGGTGAGACTGAAGCCGATGAGCTCCTTGGGTGCACTTTCCGGCCATCGTACGTATGGACAGCACAACATGTTATACACGACGCCGATACATCTCAAGGGCACGACTTTAGCTTCGAGGGTACGTTGGGGGTGGGACGGCAAGAGAGTAGGAAAAGCGAGCACGGTAGGAATTGCGAAAGTCTTGTCCTCCGACGACAGCAATACCCTCGACGTGAAAATCGCGCCCTGGGGTCGCAAGGGTGCGACTGTAGGTCCAGGGGTGCACTTGAAGTGCTGGTCGACGAAAAGTTCATGTGGTGACCAACCCGTGCTGCAAGCACTGCCCTTATTGCGATCTAACATTACCACTACACTCAGCATATAAGTCGTGCCCAAACGACATGAGGGTGCGAATACAGCTTCGGGGGTATGGATATGTGAAGCTCATGATACAAAGAATTTTACCTTCGTTTCAAAAGTCAACCGTATCCAGCGTTACGAGCACAAGCGGAAGATCCATCGTCCAATTAAATGTGCGAGTGTTAACACAAAAATGACGTTGCTTCCTACTGTGGGTGACAACGATAAGTCTCGTGCTATGCCGGCAGCAGTGTCGATCACATGTCCACCCTCCTGCCACGGCGGCACGCTCAATAGATCGCTGGATTCTCTTCAATACCCACGATCCTCTTTTTCGTCTTCTTCGACTTTTTTGTGCTCGCAGCCAAAGAGCCCCAACTATCGTTGACGACATCCACCGCAGCTTCGGGGAGGTGATCTGGCATCGGGCTACCTCGATAGGTAGCTGCAGTGGAGTCGTCCTGGGAATCGTTCTCGAGTCCTTCATGATGGTTGCGGAACTGGTCATCTGGTTGCAATCAATCCACCATGTCGACCCACTAGCATCAATAAGCAACGGGAGACTTACCTGCGACTAACACGGGACTATGCTTGTCACGAACCGCAGTGGAATCGTCCCTTGGACCGCTCTGGAGTCCTTCATTATGGTTGCGAAA